AAAAGATAGCACGTTTTTGTCCAATTTCATCCTCGATTGGGAACTTGGTAAGGGATCTGCTCCAATCTTTCTTCACGGTAAGTGAGATTTGAAAAATCTTCGGCCAACGGGTTCACTTTCTCTTTCTTTAGGGAGTAGAACTCGAACATTCTTCTTCCTACGGGCTCGCTCTCTATTTTCTTCAAGGAGTAGAACTCGAACAATCATCTTCCTACGAGTCCGCTCTCTTTTTCTTCAAGGAGTAGAACTCGAACAATAATCTTCCTACGGGTCCACTCTCTATTTATTCAGGGAGTAGAACTCAAACAATAATCTTCCTACGGGTCCGCTCTCTTTTTCTTCAGGGAGTAAGAACTCGAACAATAATCTTCCTACGGGTCCGCTCTCTATTTCTTCAGGGAGTAGAACTCGAACAATAATCTTCCTACAGGTCCGCTCTCTTTTTCTTCAGGGAGTAAGAACTCGAACAATAATCTTCCTACGGGTCCGCTCTCTATTTCTTCAGGGAGTAGAACTCGAACAATAATCTTCCTACGGGTCCGCTCTCTTTTTCTTCAGGGAGTAAGAACTCGAACAATAATCTTCCTACGGGTCCGCTCTCTTTTTCTTCAGGGAGTAGAACTCGAACAATAATCTTCCTACGGGTCCGCTCTCTATTTCTTCAGGGAGTAGAACTCGAACAATCTTCTGTTGCTTCACTACCTCCTTGTGAAGGCTTATAGATGATTTACTTCACTACTCTTTCATAAAGGCTTGAGTTTGATTCGCTTCGAAGGTTGAACCTGAAGATCAAACACTATCAATCATTAATGTATGCTCGAAAATATCCAACTCAAAAATTCTGAGTTCGAGAAATTTTCTGAAAATTCATCTTCATCGTGAAAACTTGTCTGGAAGCCCTTAGATATGTGAATCTACTTTGGCTCAATTATTGTCATCATTCTTTTTAGGATTTTAAAACTAGTCATCCTCATCTTGATGCTTCAATATATTCAATCCTCCACTATCATGGGGAAACCTGTAGACATTTAAGTCATCATGCAATGTCATGATCCTATTCATGCCTAAAATGTATGCAATTATTCAATTCAACACATTTTCTTCTTCGAAGGAACATCGTCTCCTTTGATTTTGATGGACCTCGATTTTATCTTGGGCACCGCACATTTGACCAGTTCACCCCAGTTAACAATCTCAAAATCGTATCTCTCGGCTTGACATAACTTTGACTTCTCTCATTCTTGAAGCCTGCCATTACCCATGACCAACTTCTTGATGAATGACATTCTCTTTGGGCCACCTATTAATGGCTGGAATTTTCTATGAATCCCAAGGTTTCTGCTTCCCATAACCATACAAACATACATGCTAAAACCAATGTTAGTTTCAGAATACCTGTCTTTTCAACATCTTTTGCATAACAATACTAAATGATCTCATGTACCACAAGCTAAGCTATATGTTTTAACTTTTTCAAAATCACATGCTTGTAAAGGGGAATTGAAAAGGAAAAATATTACTTTATTTATAAATGCAAATAATTTTTAGCAACTATATGGCAAACTTTTAACTGGAAAAAGAACAGAAGGATAGGCGTATTCAAATATCAATAACACAAATGCCTTTGAACTGGCACGCCGTTAGAATAACCCGAGCGTAGCTTCTATCAAAAGGAACTTCAAAATTGTGATGACACCTAAGAGTGCAAAGATACTTCTGAACCCCAAAATCTCCCATTATTGGATGCCGTAAACCAGTATTGAATCTCATGTGCATTCAATTTCTCTTCTGGTTGCTTTCATAGAGACTCATTAATCTTTAGTCTCAATCCTGATCACCAACCGTCGTTGTTACTACTCACGTCATAAGCTCTTTCTTCTTCCAAAAATAATTCAGAACCTCCACCGTGCACGAATTCTGAATTTAAAACTCAAGCCGCCCTCTACGGGTTTTCAACTTGACCTCCTTTGGTTTCAAGATGTCTTTTTCAAGTTTGCATCTTGAACCCCCCTTTTATTTGTTTTTGTTTTATTTTTTTTCATTTTCTTCATTTTCTTCATTTTCTTCATTTTTTTTCATTTTTTTTCATTTTTCATTTTTTTCTTTTTTTCATCTTCAAGCAAAATCCTTCTTAGCTGCGTTCGGAGTTCACTGAATAAGGTAATTCGAACTCATCCATCTCAATCAAGACTAGGGCTCCCCAAAAAAGGTTTTCTTGACAACATAGGGTATTTTCCACTTGGGCATCCAATTCCCTCGGAAATCTTTTGGAACGAGCAATATCCTCCTGAGCATCAGATCCCTTTCGTGGACTTCTCGAGGGCAAACTTTCTTACCATGTGCTCGTATCATCCGCTTCTGGTACATCTGACCATGGCAAATAGCTTTCAATCTCTTTTCTTCAATCAAATCCAATTGGTCATATCTGGCCTGTACCCACTCTGCCTCATTTAGCTTCACTTCTGACAAAACCCGAAGTGAGGGAGTTTCCACTTCAAATAGGGAGGATAGTTTCCATCCCATAAACTAGAGAAAAAAACGGAGTTGCCCCAGTTGACGTCCGTACAGAAGTCCGATAGGCAAACAGAGCAAATGGCAACTTCTCATGCCAATCTTTATAAGTTTCAGTCATCTTCTCTATAAGCCTCTTAATGTTCATATTAGCCGCCTCCACTGCCCCATTCATCTTTAGGCGATAGATAGTGGAATTATGATGCTTTATCTTGAATTGCTCATAGACATAGTCCATTATCTTGTTGTTTAAGTTCAAGGCATTGTCAGAGTCCATCATCCATACCCCACATAGCCAACGACCACAGAATTGTCATTATATGCAACTGATGAGGAGGGGTGTGCATTATATCTCCATAAATTCATTAGCGTGGGTACCACATACTCCTTCATGAATTTCTTCAAGAATGGTCTTAGCTTCTTTAGAGTCCACACACCTTAATAGGATCTGATCCATGCTTCTTCGGGGTCTCAACATTGAACACATACCCTGCTGTCATTCTTCTAATGGCTCTTTTGTCATTCTCGGTCGCCTGTTTGGGGTAACTTTGATACCTTATATATTGCAAGATATCATAGTATTGAGTCTCCCATCTTCCTTTTCTTCAACGTTAAAGCAGTGGGGCTGGATAATCATAAGCCTTCATCTCAATAGGCATCATATTTGCATGTATGTTCATCTTAAAGGCTGCTGTCAGAGTAGCCAAAGCATCTGTCATTTGATTTTCTTCTCTGGGGAGGTAATTGAAAGTCATTTCTCCAAATTCTTCAATAAGTTCCAAGACTAATTTACGATATTCCACCGGTTTGGGACATTTCGTTTCCCATTCTCCTCTGGGTTGGTAGATTACGAGAGCTGAATCGCCATATACCTTGGGCATTTTTACCTTGAGTTCAGTGGCAGCTCTAAGGCCCATGACACAAGCTTCATACTCACCATATTGTTTGTACAATCAAAATTGAGCCGACTGGTAAAATGATAATGCTCTTCATATAGTGAGACCAAGATTGTCACAATCCCATGCCCCAAGGCGTTTGAAGCCATCAAAGTCCATCTTCTAGTATCTCCCGGTGGATGCAATTGTTTCTTCCACCAAGATAGCCATTAAATCATCAGTCGGGAAATCAAAATTCAACGGTTCATATTCTTCGGAAGCCCTAATTGCAATGAATTCTACTATGGCGCTCCCTCCAACCGCTTTCTGGCTTACATACTGGATATCAAATTCGGACAACAGGATTTTCCAACTGGCTAATCTTTCAGACAATGCAGGTACTCCCATTAGTGACAAGCATCGTTCATATCTTCAGAGTGCACTTTAATTTGATTGTGGCTAGAGAAACCATCCATAAATGAGAACAAAGAATTTCCAGCAGTATCATCCACTAAAGTGTCTATATGTGGCAAAGGAAAATTATCCTTTGGACTTGCTCTGTAGAGATCTCTGTAGTCGACACACATTCAAACTTTCTCATCCCTCTTTGGCACTAGGAAAATATTCGGCACCCACTCAGGATATTTGGCTACTGTGAGAAACCCGACATCAAATTATTTCTTCACTTCTTCTTTTATTTTGAGCAGCATCTCTGGTCTCATTCTTCTCAGCTTCCGTTGTACAGGCTTACAATCAGGCTTCATCGTAGTTTATGGACCACCAATTTTGTGTCCAGACATGACATATCCGTGTACGACTAAGCAAATACATCCTTGAATTCTAGAAGTAATTCTATCAAGCTCTGCCTTCATTCTGCACACAGGGTGGTACCAATCTTTACTTCTTTTATCCTCATCCGTACCCAAATTCCAGATCCCTATAAGCTCTTCGTGAGGCAAAATCTGTTTATCTTCTTGTTCCACCCTCTTATGTAATTCCGAAGGTAGTTCACATCACTCATCGTCATCACAACCTTCGATTTCTCCTTGACATATGGGCATCTCGAAATCAATCTCCGGGTCAGAGTCATTAGCATTTGTATCATTGATATCTGAGTTCCTGAAAGAATAACGGAAGCGAAGATATATATACATATATATATGGAAGAATCTTTTCCCATACAAATAAATAGAAAGAAATAATACATACATTATACAACCAAAAATGAAATGCATGGGAGAGTGTTTGCCATTTTGGACCAATGAAATGCATCCTTTATTGAAAGCAAGTAAAAACACACAGCTTAACCCTTTACATCAGATCCCCTATTGCACCAGGGTACGAACAATAGGGAAAAGTTCTAGTGCGCTACTCTGCAAAAGATTTGTAAACTAAGGGCGATTCATCCATAGTCCAGTTGTTCAACACAAAGCCTGGGGGTGCAGGATATACACCTATAGCTCTCATTCCTTCAAACTCCTCATTGGTTACAACATTAATGCCAAAATCCTCCAAGGCATTCTCAATCATCACTTTATCACTTCTTGAAGTCCTTTGAAACACATGCCCTGCTGATGTGAAAATGTTGCTCAATGGCGGGAAGGTCCTGGGTCCTCAACTTGGGTCTTCACCAGTCAATCTTGCCTCTCCTAATTCCTGATTCCTGTTGATGCCCCTCTGTTTTTCCTTCAAAGTTGGTCGATACCCTAAACCAAACCTGTCTCTTTTAGCAATAGGGTAATTTGGCCCAACTGGTCCTTGCAACTGACGTCCTAGCCCTTGGCTACCTTTGGTCCCTCTTCCAAGGGTCAGTTTGTGCCCCGTTTTGGTGTAGTATGATGATCTAGGCTCTGAGATTTTCTTGCCTTCGGCCACAAACGTGGCATTGTCAAACGATTTGAAAGGACATTCAACAGCTTGTTCTTCCACTTCAACATATGGGGCTGCAGGAACTGAAGCAATAATGTCTTCTTCCGCATGAATGCATACCAGTCTTCCATCAAATACGAACTTTAGCCTCTGGTGTAAAGTTGATGAAACTGCCCCAGCCTGATGAATCCAATGTCTTCCCAATAAGCAGTTGTATGTAGGCTTGATGTCCATCACAAGAAACTCCACTTCAAATGTTGCTGGACCAATAGTCAAAGGAATATCAATCTTGCCTAACACTTCGCTTTCTGTTCCATCAAAAGATCGAACCATGCCTTGACAATTCCTCATCAGGGTACTGTCCACTGGCAGCTTTTTTAGAGTCACCAAGGGGATTACATTTAACGCTGAACCATCGCTTATAAGTACTCTGGATAAAACGTGTCCTTTGCACCTAACTGTAATGTGTAGAGCCTTATGATTGTCAATCATCCCCGAAGGGATCTCATCCTTTGAAAAAGATACAATGTTATCAGCCTGCATTTTGGCAACTAGTCGCTCCAGCTTTTCTGTGGGTAACTCCTTCGAGACAAAGGTCTGGTCCAAAACTTTTATCAAGACGTTGCGATGAGCCTCTGAACTCAAAAGAAGTGATAGGATAGAAATACTGGCAGACAGCTTGTGCAATTGTTCCACAACACCGAACTCACTATGTTTTAAAATTTTTAAGAATTCCATTGTTTCATCCTTCGACCCCAGTTCATTGATAATGAGTTTGTCTTCTTTTATCTGAACATCAACATTCTTTCCTTTTTCAGCAGCAATCTTCTTCTCTGGCTCTTTGAAAAAAAACCTACCACTTCTGGTCAAGTGCCCTACTTCATTTATTTCTTCTTGTTGTTTTGCCCCCTCTCTCATTTGACAATCATACCTCCAGGGCACTTGTTTACTATCTTTGTATGGGAACGGAGTTGAAGGAGCTACCCTTTCATTCACTTGATTCTTGGGAGTAATGACGATGGGACAACCAACACTGTGTATCCCTTTGGATGATCCTTCAGAAGCGCAAATCTCTGCTTTTTCTTTTTTAGTCACTTCTTTGAAGAATTCGATTTCTTTCTTGTCCATCAACCCTTGTACGAATTTTAAGAAATCAGGACACTGTTGTATATTGTGTCCTGCGCAATTATGGTAGTGGCACACCTCTTCACTGCTATACTGGTCACATGATAGACTAGGCTTCAACAATCCCACTTTAACCATTTGGCACCATACCCAAAGCATGGGTGATTCCACCTCACTAACATCCATAACAATTCTCTTTCCTTTCTCTTCAACGACTGTGTTAATCCCGGCTCCAGCATGGTTTGGCAATGGATTTTGGGCTACCTTTTGTTGTTCACTGTCACCAAAATTGATAACATTCCTCCTTCTCAAAGCTTGAACTACCTTTTTGAATGCAGTGCAATTTTCAATGGAATGTCCAGGATTCCCACCATGGTAATCACACTTAACATTAGCATCATACCATTTGGGATAAGGAGGTTGTATAGGTACCACATGATAAGGAGAGACTAGATGTCGATCGTATAAATCGTGAAATAATTCCTTATAGGTTACAGGAATTGGATCAAATTGAGGCCTCCCTCTCCTTGGGTCCCTTGCCCCTTGTCTATTGTCATTTTGAGGTGGTGCCACCGTTCCCTGAGATCGGGACATTGTGATGTTACTGGAATCGTACTAGCTCACCTGGGTGACTTCGTTTTCTTTTTTCTTTATCGGCGGTTTGTTGCTGGACTCTCCTCCCTCGAGCTTCCCGCTTTTAATCGCCATTTCGATCATTTCTCCTGTCGTAACTATATCAGCGAAACTTCGAGAAGGAATACCGATAAGGTGTGAGAGAAAAGGAGCCTTCAAAGTACAAATGAAAAGCATATTTGTTTCCCCCTCTTCCAATGGTGGATGCACTTGCACTGCTACCTCCCTCCATCTCTGAGCATATTGTCTGAAACTTTCACTGTGCTTCTTCTCCATTCCTTGCAACACCAATCTGTTAGGCCTGACATCTTTCACATGTTCATACTGGTCGAGAAAGGATTTAGCAAGGTCTTTCCATGACCTAATATCAGCCTTTTTTAGTTGGTTATACCATCGCAATGTTGAGCCTGTCAAGCTTTCTTGGAAACAATGGATCAACAGCTGATCGTCCCTTATGTACCCAGTCATTTTCCTGCAGAACATTGTAATATGGGCGGAAGGGCATCTAGTACCGTCGAATTTCTCGAAGTTGGGAGTTTTGAATTTTGGAGGCAGGACCAAATCAGGAACTAGACTAAATTCTTTAGCGTCCAGTCGATACATACTGGTGTCTTCCTTCATAACCTGGACTTCACTTGCTAATTGTTCGAATTGTTCCCGAAAGTGTTTGTTTTTATTCTTTTTGGCTACTTCATCAAGGTCCGGGACTTGGTGACAGAGACTTTCTTCGGGTGCGAACTAGGTCCTGGTTGAAGATTCACAACAACGCCGACAGGATCTATGTGCACTTTGGTAGGAACAGACGTTCCTTGGACATTTTGAGACTGTACCGAGGTAAACCCTGGAGGATAAAGTGGTTCTCCAGTCATTTGCTCAGGGGCCTTTCCATGTTCCAGGTTTCTCCCTTCCAACAAACTTGCCAACTTAGACAGCATATCTTCTTGAGCCTTAAGCATGTCCTCTTGCATTTTCCTTAGATCATCTTGCAATTGCAGTTGAATTTTTTCAATTTGAGTAATCCTATCTTCCATGGTTCTCTCCATTGTATTATAATGATGCTTGGACTTCCCCAGTATTTCTCTGTCACAGTTCCTTTACGAGTTACTCTCATGTTTTCATGATTGGTGCATGTAAAAAATGCTTAAATTAAAGCGATGCAAATGCAAATGTGGATGCAAAATGCAAATGCAAAAGGTGTTAATTCAAAAGTGACCACTTATAGAACAACCGTTCACTTAGACAACAAGAATTCAGTAAGTACACCATGTAGTCAAAATACAAATATAATTCTTCATCTCTTTATTTTCTCGAGTCGTACTCTTCCTGGGATCTGGAATTGCACCTCCAAAATTGCCGACGTATTTCATCACCTTTGATGACGTTAGATGTCTTTAAATTGAATCTTGGGATCTCCATCTTCACTTTAACGCAAAACAGTCTTCGTGTCTTTGTGAAAGATCTTCTCGTCCTTGGTATGATTGTATCTATCTCTTGAGTCAACATCTCGTCCTTTACAGCTTTAAAGGAATTCTTCAATCAGCTTCAGATATCGTCATTCATCGGGTGTCATTCTTCATGGATCACTTGAACATCTCTGGATCTCCCGATTTTGACTACATAGTGGAGAATTTATTGCCTCAATATGGTCAGCCTTCTTGTTAGTCAATCACTTGCGAATTAACACCCCTTGATGACATGAGGATGCGAATGCAATAAAAGCACAATAAAATCGACATAGAACAAAAATGGGTTAGTACACATAAGATAAACAACAAGATAGTAAGTACCGTGAACATCGAATAAAACCTACCCTCACATGCTGACTACCCAATCATGTTTTAGTAGATCCTACCCGACACGATATCTACCCACATGCTTTGTTGTTCACAAAAAATCCTAACCGCATGGTATCTAATTCACATGCTTGCTCAAAAAATAAACCTACCCACATGATCTCTAGTTCGCATACTTTTTGCAAAAATAAATTCGAGGAAAAGGTTAGAATGAGTTTCTCCCTCTGCGACTTTTGAAGAAAAATGGGCAGAGGTTCGATATAAAACAGGCAGAATTCTAACAGGGCCCTCGAATTGTCCTTTGTTGGTGCCCCCTTGGGCTTGCCAGACCCTCGATTCTCACCCATTATGGGCTTAAAACGAATCAAGTTCAATTCGAGAGGATACATATCCCCATATCCATGCGAGGAAACTCAATGTTTTCTCGTAGACATAAGGCATGTACCCCAGAGGTTACTAGCTAAAGCCCGTGCGGAGAAAAATAATTTTTCTCACATAAGCGTAGCTTTCACCCCTACTTAATTGGACAGAGCACAGTTAGAAGGCTTTGAATATTGAAGGTTTAGCAACAGTAGGGAAACTCATAATCCTTTGCCTCGATCCAAGAAACTCAACAAACTAAAGGTTAGAAAACTAAAACATGTAGATTACACGTTAGTACAACTATTTATTTGTAAACCAAATCACAAATAAAAATGAAAACAAGAAATTCAACACAACAAGGGATCAAAAACCAAATTAAAACGAACTTATAACTTTCGTTTGAAAAGACAATTAATTAATCGACTATCGGCCTAACTCTCTAAAAAAAAGTCCCCAGCGGAGTCGCCAAGCTGTCGAAATGATTTTTGTACCGGACGGGGCGAGGGCGAGATTTTGGAAACCGCGTCATTTTTAATTACTATCTTTTCAATTGAATTTTTAATTAAAAACAGTGCGATTTTAGAAAACCTCTCGTTTCGAAAAATTGGAAATTCCTTTACGATAAAAATATAAGGTTCGAGGAGTCGCCACCAATCTTTGATTAGGGTGTGATTGGGCACCCAAAAACATTGTCATTTTAAATAAAAATTAATTTTAATTAAAACGACAAATTTACGGTCTACGTTACCAAAATCCAAGTTCGGGAGTCGGTTACGCGTGGGGAAGGATTAACACCCCCACAATGCCCTAAATCGGTACCTAGTTGATTAATTAATTTCTTTGCAACGAATTTCGCAAGTTCAAATTTAATTTGATTAATGATCCCTTTAAACAACAAACATGCAAATTTGCAACATTCAAAGCAACAAAATAGATTTAATTTAAAATTACCAAGTCATTAGAAAGATAAAGAATATTCGATTATTTAAAAATATCGAGACCAAATCTTTAGTTCAGTTCTAACGATCTTTTCTCAAATAATTTAAATAGCCGAATATTTCTTTTTCTTTCATTCCCAAATTTTAAAGTGAAGAAATCGAATTTTTGATGTCACTGATGGGATACACTTGTAATTTAAAATCGTCAAGAACAACTTTCCTGTAAGTTAAGAAAAGCCATTCTGACGGTTTTAAATTAAAAGGGTATTACCCTTAATCCGATTATGTAATTAGGTCAAGTTGCATATGAGGACAACATGCATAAATTATACAAAGTGATGTTAATGCAAAAAATAATTAAATATGCGATTAAAGTGAATGAATTCAAACATGCTCATAAAAATAAATTACACCTACGTGCGTATGAACAACATGCTTGAAATAATATATACATGCATATATTTAAAATAAATCTAAATTAACCTAACAATCATGCATAAAATATTAAAAGGACTAAAACATAAAAAATAAATAACAACAACCTTTTTCATAACATTTTCATTTCTGGGTACTGCAAACATAATATAACCAAAATATTGCATAGGATCAAATTGAAAGCTTCTCAAATTACATATCCAATGCAAAAAACGGAAAGAAAATGGCCATAACATGATACGGGCCAAAATAAAACACTCTGGAAACCAGGAGGTAAGATTAAAATTCCCACAAAGCTCGGCTTAAGGATCAAAACGAAATGAAACAAAAATAGGATGGCCACGCTCACAATTAACCCCTCCCCAGCAAAACGCGGGCGTTTTTGGATCTGCACAAAACTACGCCGTTTCACGGCCACCTAAACGACATCGTTTTGGCGTACGGGATATCAGAGTAACACTCCTAACCCTAGCTCCAATTTCTTCTCAACCTAAACTAATAAACCCCTCACCTTTTCACTCTCCCTCTCTACCCATCTCCTTCTTCTTCTTCGACCGAGACTTCGACCTCACCACAGACAAGCCCCGATAAAGGACCTTAATCTCTCATACCTTGGATCTAACCAAAACAGAAACCCCTACCAAATACCCCTAAACCCGAGACCTAACTTAAACTACCCTCACAAAATCCATTCCCAAAATCTGAAACCTAAATCGGGCTCGTCCTCGAAATCACACGAACCCACGGCCTTAATCAGACATGCATGACTCGAGAGCAACAGGTGACTATGGGTTTTACCTTCTTACCGTAGGGTATGGGTTCCTAGCAAAGGCGATGAAAGCTTTTGGATCCGGGAAGGTGAGTCTTTCCTTTGGTTGTTGTTTTTCTGCCTTTTGGGTATCGTCGTGTTTTTCGTATATCTCTCATTTTTTGGTTGCTGATGGATGGTTTTTTTGCTTGGTGTTGACTGATTTTTTTTTGTTGTTGGTTCCTAAATGGCTCTCCCTTTGTTCGTCCTCTGATTCCTGAACCGAGAGCCCTCTGAGCTTTTTTCCTCCCCCCTTTTTTTCTGGTTCCTCTTCTCTGGTGATATATGGTTGCAGTTTTGCCCTCTGTCTCGTGTTTTGTTTCTTGTCATATGTGTATGCAGGTCACGGGAACGAGCAAGTCACAGGCGGCAGCAGTGGGGAGCCGAGCCTTGGTGTTGCTCGGTTGTGGTGCTGGCAGCAGCTTCACGTGGGAGCTGTTGGATTGTGGTGCTCGATCAGAGTGTTGTCTCAGTGCTCGGGAGTGGCATGCTCGTGGAGCGTGTGCTGCCTCGGGTTCCTCTGGTGGATCCTGTAGCTGGCTCGGGAATCTGGTGAAGGCTGTGAGCCTTTGGATCGTGAAGCCAGATCCAACGGGCTTCCTGTTACGGCGCTGAGACAAGATAGAGGCTAGGGTTTTTCCAACCCTAGCAGTGTGGGCTGCCAGTTCCGGGTTGGGTTCAAGCCTGTTGTAATCTATTTTTTTCATTTGGGTCTGTAATCATAAAAACATTTATTTAGTGCAATTTTATTAAACATATCATAGATATATATATATGTATATTTATTAAACACCCTACATAATTAAACATACATGGTAATAAACTAAAAACAACCTAAATGGATAAACACATGCAAAACATGGTAATGATACTAATTAGTAGTATATAAATAAACTGGAGTAAAAACTCGAACGAGAACCCTGGACAAAACGAGTGTCTACAGTGATGATATCTAGTTTATAGCTCGTTTGTTTAGTAAATTACTTTATTTACAGTTTGTAGAATGAAATCATCTAATGTTGATCATGTTAGGATAGATTTGTGTTATGGAGGGTCATGGGAGAATATTAATGGTGTTTTACAATATATGCCTTTACCTATGAATCTTCAACTAAAACTGTTATTAAAAAAGTTAACTTATGAAAATCTAATGTTACGTGTTTCAAAGAAAGTGAGTTTAGAGCCTCTAACTGGATTTAGGCTATCTTATCAGAGAAAGGGTAAAGTTTATTTGTTAACCGAAAATGAAGATATTGAACGATTCATTGCTTATATTAGTGTTTCGCAAGATGATGTTACATTGTATGTTGTTGAACCTAGAAGTAGTGAAGTTGGGCCAGTAACGGGTAGTAATCAACTAAGTTCTTCAGCCCCAGTTAATGGTTCTCTCAATGTACAACGTTGTTATCAACCTCAAAATTTCATGGTTCCACCACAATTTCATCACCAAGAAACTTTTATTTCACCACATTTCGAATACCAAACACAATATCAAACACTATCTCAAAATCCACAACTTTTCCCTAATCCAAATCCCAATCAATTTACAGACCCAAATTCCGGTTTTCGTATTGACCAATTAGACGATGATGTGCCAACAGATAAAAATGTGAGTACTA